TTACTTCGTTTTCTGGATGAAGAGTTCCCACCAATGTTACTTCGTTTTCTGGATGAAGAGTTCCACCAATGTTACTTTAGGTTTTCTGGATGAAGAGTTCCACCAATGTTACTTCGGTTTTTGTTACTTCGTTTTCTGGATGAAGAGTTCCCACCAATGTTTACTTCGTTTTCTGGATGAAGAGTTCCCACCAATGTTACTTCGTTTCTGGATGAAGAGTTCCCACCAATGTTACTTCGTTTTCTGGATGAAGAGTTCCCACCAATGTTACTTTGTTTTCTGGATGAAGAGTTCCCACCAATGTTACTTAAATGTTTTCTGGATGAAGAGTTCCCACCAATGTTACTTGTTTTCTGGATGAAGAGTTCCCACCAATGTTACTTTGTTTTCTGGATGAAGAGTTCCCACCAATGTTACTTCGTTTCTGGATGAAGAGTTCCCACCAATGTTACTTCGTTTTCTGGATGAAGAGTTCCCACCAATGTTACTTCGTTTTCTGGATGAAGAGTTCCCACCAATGTTACTTCGGTTTCTGGATGAAGAGTTCCCACCAATGTTACTTCGTTTCTGGATGAAGAGTTTCCACCAATGTTACTTTGTTTCTGGATGAAGAGTTCCCACCAATGTTACTTTGTTTTCTGGATGAAGAGTTCCCACCAAATGTTACTTCGTTTTCTGGATGAAGAGTTCCCACCAATGTTACTTTGTTTCTGGATGAAGAGTTCCCACCAATGTTACTTGTTTCTGGATGAAGAGTTCCCACCAATGTTACTTTGTTTTCTGGATGAAGAGGATTCCCCACCAATGTTACTTTGTTTCTGGATGAAGAGTTCCCACCAATGTTACTTTGTTTCTGGATGAAGAGTTCCCACCAATGTTACTTTGTTTTCTGGATGAAGAGTTCCCACCAATGTTTACTTCGTTTTCTGGATGAAGAGTTCCCACCAATGTTACTTTGTTTCTGGATGAAGAGTTCCCACCAATGTTAACTTGTTTCTGGATGAAGAGTTCCCACCAATGTTACTTTGTTTCTGGATGAAGAGTTCCCACCAATGTTACTTTTTTTTCTGGATGAAGAGTTCCCACCAATGTTACTTTGTTTCTGGATGAAGAGTTCCCACCAATGTTACTTTGTTTCTGGATGAAGAGTTCCCACCAATGTTACTTTGTGTTTCTGGATGAAGAGTTCCCACCAATGTTACTTTGTGTTTCTGGATGAAGAGTTCCCACCAATGTTACTTTGTTTCTGGATGAAGAGTTCCCACCAATGTTACTTTGTTTTCTGGATGAAGAGTTTCCCACCAATGTTAGGTTTCTGGATGAAGAGTTCCACCCAATGAATATCTTTGTTTCTGGATGAAGAGTTCCCACCAATGTTACTTCGTTTTCTGGATGAAGAGTTCCACCAATGTTACTTCGTTTTCTGGATGAAGAGTTCCCACCAATGTTACTTCGTTTTCTGGATGAAGAGTTTCCACCAATGTTACTTTCGTTTTCTGGATGAAGAGTTTCCACCAATGTTACTTCGTTTTCTGGATGAAGAGTTTCCACCAATGTTACTTCGTTTTCTGGATGAAGAGTTTCCACCAATGTTACTTCGTTTTCTGGATGAAGAGTTCCCACCAATGTTACTTCGTTTTCTGGATGAAGAGTTTCCACCAATGTTACTTCGTTTTCTGGATGAAGAGTTCCCACCAATGTTACTTCGTTTTCTGGATGAAGAGTTCCCACCAATGTTACTTCGTTTTCTGGATGAAGAGTTCCCACCAATGTTACTTCGTTTTCTGGATGAAGAGTTCCCACCAATGTTACTTCGTTTTCTGGATGAAGAGTTCCCACCAATGTTACTTCGTTTCTGGATGAAGAGTTCCCACCAATGTTACTTCGTTTTCTGGATGAAGAGACAATCCCCCAATGTTACTTCGTTTTCTGGATGAAGAGTTCCACCAATGTTACTTCGTTTTCTGGATGAAGAGTTCCCACCAATGTTACTTCGTTTTCTGGATGAAGAGTTCCCATAAATCCATCAGAAAGACGACGATTCCCATAAAATCTAAACCCCAATAAAGAGCCACAAAGTCTCCGAAACCTCAACCAAAAATGACAACGATTTCCAGAATTCTACATTGGGGTGATGTATGTCTGGAAGGATGACTTTAATCCAGATTGGAGGAAGAAAATGGAGGGAAAGAAGAAAGATGAAGAAGTGATAGAAAGATGGATGTGAAGAGTTATAGACAATCCAGAATGATATCTGCGGAGGGAACGGACGAGTCCAGAATGATATCTGCGGAGGGAACAGACGAGTCCAGAATGATATCTGCGGAGGGAACGGACGAGTCCAGAATGATATCTGCGGAGGGAACGGACAAGTCCAGAATGATATCTGCGGAGGGAACGGACAAGTCCAGAATGATATCTGCGGAGGGAACGGGACAAGTCCAGAATGATATCTGCGGAGGGAACGGACAAGTCCAGAATGATATCTGTAGAGGGAACAGGACAAGTCCAGAATGATATCTGCGGAGGGAACGGACAAGTCCAGAATGAAATATCTGCGAGGGAACGGACAAGTCCAGAATGATATCTGCGGAGGGAACGGACAAGTCCAGAATGATATCTGCGGAGGGAACGGACAAGTCCAGAATGATATCTGCGGAGGGAACGGACAAGTCCAGAATGAACGGACAAGTCCAGAATCTGCGGAGGGAACGGACAAGTCCAGAATGATATCTGTAGAGAGGGAAACACACAAATCCAGAATGATATCTGCGGAGGGAACGGACAAGACAAGTCCAGAATGATATCTGGAGGGAACGGACAAGTCCAGAATGATATCTGCGGAGGGAAACGGACAAGTCCAGAATGATAGCTGCGGAGGGAACGGACAAGTCCAGAATGATATCTGCGGAGGGAACGACAAGTCCAGAATGATAGCTGCGGAGGGAACGGACAAGTCCAGAATGATATCTGCGGAGGGAACGGACAAGTCCAGAATGATAGCTGCGGAGGGAACGGACAAGTCCAGAATGATATCTGTTGAGGGAACGGACAAGTCCAGAATGATATCTGCGGAGGGAAACGGACAAGGAATGAACGGAGGGAACGGACAAGTCCAGAATGATATCTGCGGAGGGAACGGACAAGTCCAGATGATATCTGCGGAGGGAACGGACGAGTCCAGAATGATTATCTGCGGAGGGAACGGACAAGTCCAGAATGATATCTGCGGAGGGAACGGACAGTCCAGAATGATATCTGCGGAGGGAACGGACGAGTCCAGAATGATATCTGCGGAGGGAACGGACAAGTCCAGAATGATATCTGCGGAGGGAACGGACAAGTCCAGAATGATATCTGGAGGGAACGGACAAGTCCTGAATGATATCTGCAGAGGGAACGGACAAGTCCAGAATGATATCTGCAGAGGGAACGGACAAGTCCAGAATGATATCTGCAGAGGGAACGGGACAAGTCCAGAATGATATCTGCGGAGGGAACGGACAAGTCCAGAATGATATCTGCGGAGGGAACGGACAAGTCCAGAATGATATCTGCGGAGGGAACGGACAAGTCCAGAATGATATCTGCGGAGGGAACGGACAAGTCCAGAATGATATCTGCGGAGGGAACGGACAAGTCAGAATGATATCTGCGGAGGGAACGGACAAGTCCAGAATGATATCTGCGGAGGGAACGGACAAGTCCAGAATGATATCTGCGGAGGGAACGGACAAGTCCAGAATGATATCTGCGGAGGGAACGGACAAGTCCAGAATGATATCTGCGGAGGGAACGGACAAGTCCAGAATGATATCTGCGGAGGGAACGGACAAGTCCAGAATGATATCTGCGGAGGGAACGGACAAGTCCAGAATGATATCTGTAGAGGGAACGGACAAGTCCAGAAATGATATCTGCGGGAAGGGAACGGACAAGTCCAGAATGATATCTGCGGCGGGAACGGACAAGTCCAGAATGATCTCTGCGGAGGGAACGGACAATTCCAGAATGATATCTGTAGAGGGAACGGACAAGTCCAGAATGATATCTGCGGAGGGAACGGACAAGTCCAGAATGATATCTGCGGAGGGAAACGGACAAGTCCAGAATGATATCTGCGGAGGGGGAACGGACAAGTCCAGAATGATATCTGCGGAGGGAACGGACAAGTCCAGAATGATATCTGTGGAGGGGAACGGACAAGTCCAGAATGATATCTGCGAGAGGAACGGACAAGTCCAGAATGATATCTGCGGAGGGAACGGACAAGTCCAGAATGATATCTGCGGAGGGAACGGACAAGTCCAGAATGATATCTGCGGAGGGAACGGACAAATCCAGAATGATATCTGCAGAGGGAACGGACAAGTCCAGAATGATATCTGTAAAGAGAACGGACAAGTCCAGAATGATATTTGTAGAGGGAACGGACAAGTCCAGAATGATATCTGCGGAGGGAACGGACAAATCCAGAATGATATCTGTAGAGGAAACACACAAGTCCAGAATGATAGCTGTAGAGGGAATGCTGCACAGGGCCGGGCTATGCTGTCACCGGTGGAGGATCGGAGAGGCTGACCGGCCACCAACACATGGCCACACAACTCTCTTCTTGACAGACGCCGCTCACAACATGCAGCCGACACTTGTGACGTTCTCCGGGGGGAGAGACTCTGGAATTCCAGAGCTCTCTGGATGTATATTTAGAAGAAAAAATACTCTAAAATAACAAGTAATACACAAGGGGGAGGGGGCTTCACACAGCGGCTATGAGAGGCCGGAGGCTGCGGCACAGGCACAGAGACCCCCAAGACACGGGCCGAGAGGCAGAGGTGACTCTTCAGGGATTACCGGCAAATCTGCAGACATCGGTAAGAGCCACGGAAATCTTCTAGATGATATTTTGTTGATGGTCATTAACTTCTAATGTTCTTCATTTTGCCCTGACTTTTGTTTTTACCCCCCCCCCCCCAGGGTAATATGTGACCGACGCTCAAATGGGAGACTGGCAATTGTTGGGGAAACTTTTGGAAAAGGCGCAGGAACATTCCACGGTGGTGGGCAAAGTCTGGCTGACGGTCCTCTTCATCTTCCGGATCCTGGTCCTGGGGGCGGCGGCGGAGAAGGTCTGGGGGGACGAGCAGTCCGGCTTCACCTGCGACACCAAACAGCCCGGTTGTCAGAATGTGTGCTACGACAGAACGTTCCCCATTTCTCACATCCGTTTCTGGGTGCTGCAGATCATTTTCGTGTCGACCCCGACGCTGATCTACCTGGGCCACATCCTGCACCTCGTGCGCCTGGAGGAGAAGCAGAAGCAGAAGGAGAAGTTACGGCAAAGCAAAGGAGACCCTCAGAACGACAAGCAGCTGCTCCTGGAACGGCCCAAACCCTCCGTCAAGGATGACATGGGCAAGGTCCGGCTTCGCGGGGCCCTCCTGAGGACGTACGTGTTCAATGTCCTCTTCAAGACTTTGTTTGAGGTGGGCTTCATCGTGGCGCAGTACCTTCTGTACGGATTTCAGCTGCACCCGCTGTACACGTGCAGCCGCTGGCCTTGCCCCAATACCGTCAACTGTTACATCTCCCGCCCCACGGAGAAGACCATCTTTATTTTATTCATGCTGACCGTGGCCTGCTTGTCTTTGCTGCTTAACCTGATCGAAATCTATTACTTGGGGTTCACCAAATGCAGGCAGGGCCTGACGGGGTCCCAATGTGAACCGGTGCCCAAATTACCGGCCAAGACGGGAACAATCACCCACACTCATATCATACCTCATTATGCTCACTACAGTCCTCCGGACAAAGGGTCGGGCTTCAGCACCTCCCTGCCGTTCCCCCTCTCCCCCAACAAGAACACAACCTCTGCTCTGGACAGCAGCCAGGCTGCACGGATGCAGAACCGGGAGAACCAAGCCGTGGAACGCAACGGAATCGGGGACCTGAACGTGGCGTCAGACAGCGGCAGTGACTTAGAGCACCCTGAGCGCCAGAGGCTACCGAGCCGGAACAGCAAGCAGAGTAGTACCAGGTCACGGCCTGGGGTTCTCGCGGTGTGATGGGGTGCTGGGGACATGGACAGAAGTACCGGGTCACGGCCTGGGGTTCCCATGGTGTGATGATGGGGTGCTGGGGACATGGACAGTAGTACCAGGTTACGGCCTGGGGTTCCCATGGTGTGATGGGGTGCTGGGGACATGGACAGTAGTACCAGGTTACGGCCTGGGGTTCCCATGGTGTGATGGGGTGCTGGGGACATGGACAGTAGTACCAGGTTACAGCTTGGGGTTCCCATGGTGTGATGGGGTGCTGGGGACATGGACAGTAGTACCAAGTTACTGCCTGGGGTTCCCATGATGTGATGGGGTGCTGGGGACATGGACAGTAGTACCAGGTTACAGCCTGGGGTTCCCATGGTGTGATGGGGTGCTGGGGACATGGACAGTAGTACCAGGTTACAGCCTGGGGTTCCCATGGTGTGATGGGGGTGCTGGGGACATGGACAGTAGTACCAGGTTACAGCCTGGGGTTCCCATGGTGTGATGGGGTGCTGGGGACATGGACAGTAGTACCAGGTTACAGCCTGGGGTTCCCATGGTGTGATGGGGTGCTGGGGACATGGACAGTAGTACCAGGTTACAGCCTGGGGTTCCCATGGTGTGATGGGGTGCTGGGGACATGGACAGTAGTACCAGGTTACAGCCTGGGGTTCCCATGGTGTGATGGGGTGCTGGGGACATGGACAGTAGTACCAGGTTACAGCTTGGGGTTCCCATGGTGTGATGGGGTGCTGGGGAAACGGACAGTAGTACCAGGTTACAGCCTGGGGTTCCCATGGTGTGATGGGGTGCTGGGGACATGGACAGTAGTGCCAGGTTATGGCCTGGGGTTCCCATGGGGTGCTGGGGACGTGGACAGTAGTGCCAGGTTATGGCCTGGGGTTCCCATGGGGTGCTGGGGACATGGACAGTAGTGCCAGGTTATGGCCTGGGGTTCCCATGGGGTGCTGGGGACGTGGACAGCAGTAGCAGGTTATGGCCTGGGGTTCCCATGGGGTGCTGGGGACGTGGACAGCAGTACCAGGTTATGGCCTGGGGTTCCCATGGGGTGCTGGGGACGTGGACAGTAGTACCAGGTTACGGCCAGGGGTTACCATGGGGTGCTGGGGACATGGACAGCAGTAGCAGGTTATGGCCTGGGGTTCCCATGGTGTGATGGGGACATGGACAGTAGTACCAGTTCCCACAGTGTGACAAGGTGCTGGGGACATGGACAGGGGTAGTAGCACCAGATCATAGTCCAAGGTTCTTGCTGTATGATATGTTGCGGGATATGGGCAGAAGCATCAGATCACGGCCTGGGGTTCTCATGGCATGATGGGGTCCTGGGGACATAGACAGGGCATTATCACTAGATAAGGTGTGATGAGGGGACAAGGGAAGTAGCACCAGATCATTCTTGCTGTGTGATGGGGTGTTGGGGACATGAACAGGGGTAGCAGCACCAGATCATGGTACGCAGTTCTTGATGTGTTATGTGCCGAGGACATGGACAGGGGTAGTAGCACCAGATCATTCTTTCTGTGTGATGGGATGTTGGGGACCTGGGCAGGGGAAGTAGCACCAATTCTTGGACCAGGGTTCTCACTGTGTGATGGGGTGCTGGGGACATGGACAGGGGTAGTAGCACCAGATCATTCTGTGTGATGGGGTGTTGGGGACATGTACAGGGGAAGTAGCACCAGATCATGGTCTGGGGTTCTTGATGTGTTATGTGCTGAGGACGAGGACAGAGGTGGTAGGACCAGATCATGGACCAAGTTTCTTGATGTGTTATGGGGCTGGGACTGACAGGGGTAGCAGAACCAATCATGGTCCGGGGATCTCGATGTGTTATGGGCTGAGGACATGGGTAGCAGAACCAATCGTGGTCCGGGGATCTCGATGTGTTATGTGCTGAAGACATGGACAGGGGTAGTAGCACCAGATCATGGTCTGGGGTTCTTCATGTGTTATGGGCTGAGGACATGGACAGGGGTAGTAGCACCAGATCATGACACAGGGAACTTGATGTGTTATGGCCTGAGGACATGGACAGGGGTGGTAGCACCGATCATGGTCTGGGGATCTTTATGTGTTATGGGCTGATGACATGGACAGGGGTAGTAGCACCAATCATGGTCCAGGGATCTCGATGTGTTATGTGCTTAGGACATGGACAGGGGTAGTAGCACCAATCATGGTCTGGGGATCTTTATGTGTTATGGGCTGAGGACATGGACAGGGGTAGTAGCACCAATCATGGTCTGAGGATCTTTATGTGTTATGGCCTGAGGACATGGACAGGGGTAGTAGCACCAATCATGCTCCAGGGATCTCGATGTGTTATTGGCTGATGACATGGACAGGGGTAGTAGTAGCACCAATCATGGTCTGGGGATCTCGATGTGTTATGGGCTGGACATGGACAGGGGTAGTAACACCAATCATGGTCTGGGATCTCGATGTCTTATGGGCTGATGACATGGACAGGGGTAGTAGCATCAATCATGGTCTGGGGATCTCGATGTGTTATGGGCTGATGACATGGACAGGGGTAGTAGCACCGATCATGGTCTGAGGACATGCACCGATCATGGTCTGGGATCTCGATGTGTTATGGGCTGAGGACATGGACAGGGGTAGTAGCACCGATCATGGTCTGGGGAACTTGATGTGTTATGTGCTGAGGACATGGACAGGGGTAGTAGCACCAATCATGGTCTTGGAATCTTTATGTGTTATGGGCTGAGGACATGGACAGGGGTAGTAGCACCAATCATGGTCTGGGGATCTCGATGTCTTATGGCTGATGACATGGACAGGGGTAGTAGCACCAATCATGGTCTGGGGATCTCGATGTGTTATGGGCTGATGACATGGACAGGGGTAGTAGCACCGATCATGGTCTGAGGACATGCACCGATCATGGTCTGGGAATCTTTGTGTGTTATGGACTGAGGACATGGACAGGGGTAGTAGCACCGATCATGGCTGGAGACATGGACTGGGGATCGATCATGGTGGGGATCTTTATGATGGGCTGAGACATGGACAGGGGTAGTAGCACCAATTATGGTTCAGGGATCTCGATGTTTTTATGGGCTTTTTTGGGTGATGACATGGACAGGGGTAGTAGCACCGATCATGGTCTGGGGAACTTGATGTGTTATGTGCTGAGGACATGGACAGGGGTAGTAGCACCAATCATGGTCTTGGGATCTTTATGTGTTATGGGCTGAGGACATGGACAGGGGTAGTAGCACCAATCATGGTCCAGGGATCTCAAGGTGTTATGGGCTGAGGACATGGACAGGGGTAGTAGCACCAGATCATGGTCTGGGGATCTTCATGTGTTATGGGCTGAGGACATGGACAGGGGTAGTAGCACCAGATCATGGTCTGGGGATCTTCATGTGTTATGGGCTGAGGACATGGAGAGGGGTAGTAGCACCAATCATGCTCCAGGGATCTCGATGTGTTATTGGCTGATGACATGGACAGGGGTAGTAGCACCAATCATGGTCTTGGGATCTTTATGTGTTATGGGCTGAGGACATGGACAGGGGTAGTAGCACCAATCATGGTCCGGGGATCTCGATGTGTTATGGGCTGATGACATGGACAGGGGTAGTAGCACCAATCATGGGCTGGGGATCTTTATGTGTTATGGCCTGAGGACATGGACAGGGGTAGTAGCACCAATCATGGTCCAGGGATCTCAAGGTGTTATGGGCTGAGGACATGGACAGGGGTAGTAGCACCAATCATGGTCCGGGGATCTCAAGGTGTTATGGGCTGAGGACATGGCCAGGGGTAGTAGCACCAGATGCTTCTTGCTGGGGCGGGTAAATTGGGACTGCAGAAATGTTGTGTACTGTATATGCTGTTCAGTTCCTGTCTATAGATGATGGTTGACGTCTGTGAATACAATACCTACCAATGTTCCTGATTTATAAAGCAAAATAAAAATGGCTTACTGATGTCTAATGATAGACCACACCCCCGAGGAACCTTTGTCTTTTATCCTCCACCGCTAAAGGATATGTGTGTTTTAAAAGAAGGTGCATTTGTCTCTTTTGGCCCGCTCCTGCCACCCTCCACCTACCTCAGTTCTGCGCTGTTTACATTCAGCGGTCCCAATCCGCCCTGGCCAGGCCGTGTCAGGGCGTTACACTCCATAGACATCTATGGGGCGGTCGGCTCCGCCTTCTCCAAGTTCTGGGCTGTAATGCTCAGACACGGCCTGGACAGGGTGGACTGGGAGCGCCGAATGTAAACAAACACCGGATGGTGGCAGGAAGTTGGGGAAGAGGGCAGAAAGGTTGAAGTATACTAACAGCCAAAACGTCTCTGTGAAGCCGGTAATGACCTCTGCCGGGCCGCCATCTTTGGTCGGGTATACAGACCACGACTTTCAATCATCGTAAAATTCAGCTGCTTATCTGACATTGTAGTATGTTCTCTGCATGAATTCCTCCTGCGGACTACAGAAGCCCTCCCCGCCATGTTATAGGAAGGAGGGGAGGTGTTTTGTAGTCCTGTCCCAAGGTGATAATACTTCTCCATACAGTAAACCAGCGTTGTCACCCTCAGACAGGAAGTGTGTTGCGGGCGGGATCACCAGGTGGTAAAAATACCCAAAGAAAGGAAATCTAAAACAGCCACATCTAAGGACTGGAAGGTATGGGGGGAGGGAAGGTGCAGACACATGGAAGGATTGGGGGGGGGGGGGTGCAGACATGTAAGGACTGGAGGGGTGCAGACATGTAAGGACTGGAGGGATTGGGGGGGGGGTGCAGACATGTAAGGACCGGAGGGATTGGGGGGGTGCAGACATGTAAGGACCGGAGGGATTCAGGGGGGTGCAGACATGTAAGGATTGGGGGGGGGGGGAGGCAGAATTAAGGACCGGGGGAGGGGGTGCAGACATGTAGGGCCGGAGGGATTGTGGGGGGGGTGCAGACATGTAAGGGCCGGAGGGATTCAGGGGGGGTGCAGACATGTAAGGACCGGAGGAG